AGAAAGAGAGGGAGAAATTGAAACATGAGCCAAAGGGGGCCCATCAGGCAGTCAGGTGAGGGGCAGTGTGGGCAGCTGCTGTTTGCTCTCTGCTTGTCAGAGCCCCTTGCCCAGAGCTTGACCAGGGAGGTGTGTGTGGTGGTCACACCCATCTCAGCAGATCGTCAGCTTTCCCGCTTTTGTTAGAGGGTGATATCATGCTTCCTGGGGGGTGCACTGGAAGACAATGCTCAGCCACTTTCCTCCAGATACAATAGGCGGAGTCAGGAAGGCAGTATTGACATTGCTGGGGCCAGGGAGGCCCTCACCACTTTGTGGCCGTCAGATGGTGAACCAGCTTAACCTTGGCACACAGGGCCTGGGTTGTGCAAGGCGTCTGGCTGCAGAGACAAAGCAGACTCCACCCTGGGGACAGGAGTGCTTTAGACATCTGGGAATCTGGGATGGGCTTCAAATTCCGATCCCTGTGTCCAAAACAACCACAAAACAATAATAGTACCAGTAATAGCAAAAATGACCACTATAGGTTGAATTCCTCTATTGCCAAGGGTTTAATATGAATTTTAATATCTCACAACAACCTTGCACAATAGGTATTACTAGTTTTTTAAAATAGATGGTGAAACTGAGGCTCACAAAGATTATGTGACTTGCCCAAGGTTAAGATGTAGTAGACATCCATATTTTGGACTGCTCAACATCCCTAGTTTTCAAGCACTGCCATGGTTTCTATGTGATTCTGAGGGAAGTGCCAATCACTTAACACAGTGTGTGCCGTCCATCTGACAGCAGCAGTTGGTTCAGATGGAGGATGCTTGACCCAACAGGGCCAGCTAGACCATTTCTCTCAGAATTTATTAGCAAGATGTTCTCTTTTTTCAGTAAGGACACTGGATACTTGGAGCTACGAGCTTCCCTGGGCACTTGCAGGTAGCTGGTCTTTGCCAGGAAAGAGGACAATGACACGGAGAGAACAGGGCCAAGACAGACACTCATATTATTTGAGTGCTGGGTCCAGTGGTTTTAGATCAGATTACTATCCCTGTACCTTCCAGTTATGGGAGCCAGTTATCTTTATTTGCTTGCACTATTTTGAGATGGTTTCAGTCTCTTGAATGCAAATAGTCCTGAGTGACACCATGATCTCAGTAGGAAATGATAGAGACAAGAGTTATACTGAGAATGGCCTGTACCCAAATTCTGAGCTCTTTCAAACACATCCTATTAGTTGTCCTACTAGTTTTCATGGTCACCTCAGGCTAGTTCTTGGAAAATGAGTCTGATAGCACTCCTTATTCGTGTGGTTTAGGAAAAGGTTTTAAGAGCTACTACTTAAAAGTACTTGGTGTACAATAAATACTCAGAATCAGACACTCTTGTTTGCTTATCAACAAAGCTGGGCCCTCTTATGTTGCTTTATGCCAGACCTTTCAAAGCATAACTCCATCCATGAGGGCAGACAACTAATATTCCATGCCAGGTAGAGTGCCTCAGCTTACCTTGGTGACACTCAGCATTGGTACACTAAGCTTGGCCTTACCTCGGGAGCAAGGAGAGAAAAGCGGGGTTTTGCTAAATATCTGGAGTGTTAAGTAGGAGGAATTAATTGCTGTGGCTCTACCAAATGGCAAGATGGTACCCCCTTATTTTCTCCTGCCAACCTCCAATTTCCTCTTTTCTCTGGTCTTTACTGAACAGATCGTTTGTCATCTGTAGATGCCCACTTCATTTATCCCAAACTTATTCCTAGTTCTTAACAATTTACTATGGCACTGTCTGTCCCAAGTAGAATGTGCCTCACTTCTGCTCATTGTTAGTCTTTTGGACCCATCCTGGAGTGTGCATGAAGAGCTCTGCCCCCATTTCATCATCATCTTTAATTCTTCTGCCTGTTACTTCCAGCTCCTCTTTGTGCCCAGCACAGTACCTCATGGATCGGGAAAGCACTTTATAATCTTCTGGGGTTGATTTAATCATTGCTACCACTTTAGAATCAGAGAGTAGGTGGTGGCAGCAGTTGGTTGTGGTCTTTGCCTGCCTTCACCGGGCTCTAGTGATTCTCAATCCCTTGTGCTATGTTGGAGGTGTATTTCAGTCAAACCAGCTCCTGTGGTTTCCAAACATACCCTTTAAACCCCTATGCCTTTGTGTGTGCTGTTGTTTCTGCCCAGAATGCCCTCTTCACATTCTCTTCTTCACCTGCCTGACTTATTCTTTCTTTGAGGTTTATCACAGGTGTCATTTCTTTCAAGAAGTCTGCTTAACCTCCTTGCGTGGATTAGGGCCCTGCCTTAGCCTGGGTTCCACCAAAAATGTGTCTTGAGGCAAAGGCATATGTACAGTTAGGTTGTTTAGGAAGTGATCCCAGGGAGGACAAGTGAGCGACTAGGGGAATGGAACTGTACGAGGATGTGGTATCATGTTGGCCACTGCCACAGATGCCTGATGCTCCTGACCTTCTGAGGAGCCTTATGAAATGAGACTTAGAACTGTTTACCTGTGAAGGAAAAGGAGAAGCATTCATCCATTGCTCTCCTTGGCCTTTGTTCAGGGGTTATATAGATGTACGGAGATAATGAGTTACTGTTGGTGTCTTGTGCTGTTGTGCCAGAGAAAGTCCCAGGAAGAAGTGAGATATGCTTGCATGGGCTCTGGATGAGCTGCTTTGAGACTGCACCTGCTCAAGTGGAGGCCTGCGCAGAAGCGGTCCCTGCAAAAGCAGCTGGAGCAAGAGCTGGGATGGGGAGGATTTGCTTTTGGATACAGTCACCTTTGTGTTTGCCCGCTTGCTCAGAACATTAAATTACTATTTACAGTTTACTTGCTGGTTTTTCCCACTAGGCTATGAGCTGTATTTGGCATTCCAGTATTCTCAGCACCAGCCAACATACTGGCTGGCAAAGGAAATCTTTAATAAATGGTTTTGCATTGGATTAAATGTTCTGACATAGTGCTTCCCCAAGTGTGCTAAATATATTACTGATGGCCCAAAAGATGATTTTATGTGGTGCTTGGAAGAATATTTTTAATTATGTTATTTATTTGTATTATAGAGATAGATATATGTGTGTATAAATGTCATCAGTTATGTAATTTCATGAATATTCCTAAATGAGGTGAAAAAGAAAAGATGAATTAATATTGAGAGAATGGTTAATAGAATAAGTGTATAGATAGCATGTAGACACAGCAAGAATCATAAATGTGATACATGAATTAATGCAGTTTGGGAGACAATACCATAACTGACTGCATTAACCAGTCATTTTTAGAACTCTGTGTGTGTGTGTGTCCAAATAGAAAAGATAAGAATAATGGGCATGCAATTAATACTGTCCTAGTGACATGAACAAAGTGAGAGTCTCATCGTGATCAGCCTGTCTCAAAGGACTGTCTTGGACTCTAATCTTGCCTCTCCCAGGGAACATGGACATGTGTTAATAAATTCAGACAAGACCTAGTTTACCCCTTGGACATACTGAGTATCCTTCAAAAATGGCCCAGCAATCAGCCAGCAAACCACTGGGCAAAACCTATCAGTGGAGGAATGGGTGGGTCAGTTATATTCACATTCAAGCTAACATTTACTGAGCCCACTGTCTGTGCTGGGAATCTACATTGAAGTTACAAAGATGTTTAAGAGAGCGATCTGACCTCAAGTGGCTTGTAGTGTGGTTGGTGAGGAGCTCTGCTTGGTTAGATACAGACAACATACATTGCGAGCACAGAAGCTGGAGGGAGTAATCCTGGAAGAGAATAGGGGCCTCACCAACATTTGAGAAGGATGAGTAGCATTATACTTTGTGGAAAATCATGAGTAGAAGTGAACAATAGAGACATTCTAGGCAGGGGGAAAAGCATGAGACATGGGGAATAGAAAGTTTAAGAAACATTTGTGCAGTGGCTTTATGTGGCTATACTATAGGGTACATTGAAGTAGGTGGCAGGGGATAAAGCTGGGAAGGTGGGCTGGAGAGAAGTAATTTGGTTTGAGACTGGCTGAGTGGGCAGTGATAGAGACCCTCTGGGAGCTGTTAGGATATAAGATGAAGTTGTGTGAGGGAATGAGATTGCCCAAGAAGAGGATAGGGGGGTAGTCCTGGGGACTCTTATATCAAGGGCTGATATAGGTAAAGGAAAAGGAAACTGAAGGCACTCAATAAGACAAGCCAAGTTAGGAGGGAGTTTTAACCACATCAGAAATTGCAGAGTAAGGAAAGGGACTGGGAATTTGCTGACTAGGTGCTGTTGCATTTTTAGTGGAAGCTGCAGGTCTGGGTTGAGGGAGGTGAGGGTGTAGAGTAGGTAAGTGTAGATGCCTTTCTGAGAGGTCCCATGTCCTGGCAGGTTCCTGTTTCCATGTGCTTTTCTGTAAGCTTGATTCTAGGGTGTCTGGTAGAAGGGGTGAGGCCCTCTCTGTCATCATGTCTCAAGGTGCTAGGAGGATATGCAGAGGTCTGAAGGACATAGGGAAAGACCTCTTCCATCATAGACACCCTCCCCTTCCCGTGGATGTGGTCCCCAAGTTACCTGAATCAGGGAATTATTTTAGTTTTACAAATACATGGTAATGGAGGTAGGTATTTCTGTGGAGGGGCTATACATTGTAACCTAGAATAATAGAATATTAGAACTGTCAAAGGCTTAAAAGATGATTTAGTCTAATGCTTCTGAAGTGTGTTCACAAAATACTAATTCCAAGAGAATAATAGAATACCCCCCTTTTTTTAGTGTTATGAGGAGCTAATGTTCAGTACCTTAAAAAATGTTGATTTGATTCAACCTGCCCATTTTACAGATGCTGACACTGAGACCCAGAGAGTTCAGCACTTTACTCAAGCTTGTTCAACTCTTTAGAGGCTAAGTTTCTTCAATTTAATAGAAAGTGTGGAAGACAATATAAATTAGAGCTTAATGTGGAGTCAGATTGCCTGAGGCTGTATTTCAGCTTTATCATTTTGTCAGTTAGCTATTGCTGTGTAACTAATCTCAAATTTCAGTGACTAAACCAGCATTTATTGCTCATGTCTTGGGGTCATTCAAGGATCAGCTGATTCATGCTAAGCACAGCAAGGTGGTTGTGTTTCAGTTTGCAGCAGCTGGGACAGCTCTGCTGCTTGCTGCAGGTATGTGGGCTTTCTGGTGACTGCTTGCAGGTAACTCATCCTTCTTGCGTCAGCAGTTTACCCAGGTGTTTTGTTCTCAGGGTGATGTTAGAAATATAAGAGGGCTATGTAGAAACAAAAAAACAAGTGAGGCTTCCGAAGTCCTAGGCTCAGAACTAGTGCACTGTCACTCCCAAAGCCACTTGCTGTGCCCCAAGTCAAGGGCTGGGAAGTACACTCTGTCCATGATGAGGCCAAAGAAGTACATGGATGCAAGGAAGGTTCAAGAGTTGGGACCAACTATTGGGTCTACTACCACCACTCCTGGCTTTGTGCTGTGGTGCAGATCACTTGGCTCCATCTGTAAAATAAGCATTATAATAGCACCTACCTCTTGGGTTTTTTTTTGGAAGATTAAATGAGTTAATTCATGTAAACCCTTTAGAACAAAGCTTAAATGTAGAAAATGATGGATAGATATTAATATTGTTACTAATTTTATCTACCCACCCATCACCATCCATGCCAGTTGGAGGATATTGGGGTCCTTGCCACTGGAGTAGCTATAGGAGGGTTAAGTCCACTTCACAAACTGGCCCAGCATCAGCCACTCTCCACTAGCTGAAGGGCTCAAAGGAGTGACCTGAAAAAAACCCAGATCACTCATTTATAAATTCTGCTCTTCCTCTTTTAAGTGCTTGATGTCCACAAACATAAGTCCTCTGGCAACGTAGGCTCGCTTTGTGCTACCTGGCCCTGCAGCCCTCTTCCCTCTGTATATCTCGCATGCAGTCAGCAGTGCTTTTCACACAAACTCTGCCAAGAGGTGTGGAACTGGAGCCAGAAACATAGAACAGCTGCAGAAGCTCAGCCGCATCCAGAGGCCTATAGTAATCTCCTGCAGGCCTGGATACAGCCGTGACCACTGGGTGACTCTAAAGTACATAAGCCATCAGCAAAGTGTGATTCCAACATGAGTAATAGTGAGTTCTGCCAGCTGCTTCTGGAATCAAACAAAAAACAGTGTTGTTGCCAGCCAGGGGGGGGGAAAAATCACCATTAATTGCATCACTATCTTCCCATGAAGGCTGGGGAGAACCAGTTTCCCAGGCTAACTTCTGTTAGAAGCCCTATTTCCCTCTCCTAGGATCGTTTTCTGATGGATCTCACAGTTTATAATCCCTATCAAAGCTACTTTTTCACCTTAACCAGGTGGTTATGAACACACACTCTGGGGGCTGATGAATTGGGCTGGAGCCTCATTCAACGATGTGATAGCTGTGTGACCTTCAACAAGTTACTTCACCTTCCTATAGAATGGGGATAATAATGTTACCTGCTAAAGAGTTGTAAGGATTACATGACATAAGCAGATCAAATGCTTAGCAAAGTGAAGTTCATAAAAATGCTTGATAAATATTAGTTCTCATGTAATTTCTTATGGCACCCTATGCCACTAGAGTAATTGCTCCTAACAGCACCCTGTCTCCAAGAATCTATATAAACACTATTCTATTCCATCCCACTTCAACATATCACTATTCTATAAGTAATTTGGAACTCCTACTCTGTGCCTAGCACTATGTCAGGAAATATAAAGATGACTAAAATCCTTGCTGCTAAGGAGGTTGGTTTTGGGGTGTCAGTTGCAGATAGACATACAGTAAATTCTCATTATTCTAAGTAGTATGGTCTATAAACCATAGAGGGTTAGATTCCTGCAAGATGGAACATTTTTGTTAACCAATAAATACATAACCCAGTTTTTTATGGGTTTCTGATTAAAGACAAATCATTTAATATATATGGTTGATTCATTAACATGGAACTCACAGCCAAAAGCCCTGTAACTCCTACCTGAAGAAATCACTAACACATCTATTTTCTCCATAAGGCACATTAAGCCTTCTTGTGCTTAGGAATACTAGCCATCACTTCAACATCATGCATGGTGGCCATTGGAAATGGTGAGATTGCTACAAAAAAAAACACACACAAAAATGAGAATATGTGACACTAAATATACTGCAAAGAGGAGACTGGTTTCCAGTATGAAAGCAATGCCTTGTTTCACCTCATTTGGGAACTTGTGTATCTAAGGACTCAGGATTTTCCCTTCCCTGCATTTCAAATGACAAGTAAGCCACCCTCAAAAGTACCCATTTTGAGATTATACATAAATTGTAGGTAAATTCACAGATATGGGATCCACAGATAATGATAGACTGTTTATACAAATGACTAAACAACTCAGACTACAGTTAAGTTTCCACAGAAGCACAGGGCAAGCACAGGAGAAAGAAATGGATTCATTCTGGGGCAGTTAGGCTCCACTGACTGACATCAGACTTTCAAATGCAGGACATTTCTGACACTAGGCAGTAGAGATGGAAGCATGGGAGGATGAAAGTATGTGGTTCGGTGCAGCCAAATGAACCAGGTTAGGGCACATGGGCTGAGTGCCCAGCCTTGTACTGTGAGCCCAGATTTGACAGGATGCCTTTAAGCAGGTTTCTTAGCCACATGCATTTAGAAGGGAGACCCAGCTCTCTGAGACACCAAACATGTAAAACAGTCCAGCTCCATAGTGATAATGGGTCAAAAGAGATGATGATTTATGTTGTATAGTGTGCAAAACTTAATGAATTCAGAGTTAACATCTCTCTGTGCCTCTGGCTAAGTTCCTCTCCAGCTCCCAACCTCCTCCTTTCTCCTCCTCTCCTTTCCCCACCTCTACTATTCCAGGCCAGTCACCAGCACTTGCATACACCACTCTGTAGAATAAAAGCCATTAGTTATCCAGCCTTCTCTCTTCTGGACTCTTAACAGGAGCCTGTATGGTTACTCAGGCTGGGCTTTGGAATTTTACTCTGGCTTCCGTTCCCTGCTCCAAGGGGCTTACACAAATATTCACCCAGTAAAATATTTGCTCCATATTTTGGCATGAGCAATAAAGAAGTGAAGGGTTCCAGATGAGTTACACTCCCTAGCACTGCCTCTGCCAGTTATTCCTGACAGAGTGTTTTCTCATCTTGGATGCATGCTCTGCAGTTTCTGCAGTTTTTAAAAAAGCCTTGTTCAGGCCCTAGCTGTACTCGATGTTCAATAAATAATCATATTTCTTCTAAACTGATAATTTTGGGAAAAGATACATCTTGGTAATGTTTTACTCCACAAAACTGATATGCAAATTTAATCATTTTAATTTTCTTAGAAATTTCATAGCAAGGTTTTATAATTTCCATCACATTAAGCTCTTTAGAATGTTTCTTCCTAATCTCATCAAAATCCTATAAGATACTGTTTTAAAAGCTTAACAAAATAATTATGAATTTTATCTTGAATAAGCAGGAGGACTAGCTGAGGAAATTCTGGAAAAATAAAGGAGTAATATCTTGGGAATAGCTCTACCAGATCCTAAGGCAGAGTTTGATACTGGAGTAATAGTGGGGTCCAGGCCGAGAGTGTGGACACACAGATCAGCAGACTAGAAAGGCCAGAACCAGGCCTGAGTTTATATAAAATTTGAATATCCTATAAAGGATACACTTCAGTCAGGAAAGGAATAATAGCTCTGGGAAGAGTAGTTTCTGTTTGAAAAAAAGAATTATTTAAAAAATCCATCTGTTACCACACACCGAAATAAATTTCAAATGAATTAAAGAGTAAATGTAAAAAAAGCCATCAAAAAGAGATGGAAGTGAATATTTATTGGAGGATTTTTAAAGTTTAAAAGCAGTAGAAGAAACCACAAAACAAAAATCAATACAAAATAAAGATCAATACACTTAGCTTGTAAATATTTAAACTATTAATCCAACAATAAGCACAATTAAAAGGCACTGAATAAAATGAGAAAAAGACAACAAATACGGCACAAAAGAGATTAAATTTTTTGGAAAAAATCCAAACATTAAAAGAGAATTCACAAAAGGAGGAAATACAAGTGGCCAATATGTATGTGAAAAAGTTCACACCTCCCAATTAAAATCAAAATAAGATAGAACTTTTCTTATATCAACCTAGCAAGTATTAAAAAACAAGTGAAAATACTCTAATACATGGCTGAGGTTGGTGAAATGTTGCCTCACATACACTGTAGCTTTTTAGATAGAAATTTGGCAATGTAAAGCAAAATGTTCTAAGATTTAAAATGTTCTCATAAGATTAAAATAGAAATTTAGGATATAAAATTGAATTTTGTTTAACTTAAAGATGATATATGTTGATTTCTGCAGTTTCTATGTATTAAGGGGAAAAAATAAAAGATATACATCAAAATGTTAACAGAAGTAAAATGGTTCCTTTCTATACATTTCTCACTTCTCACTGTGTTTGCATAGGCCTCATCTAGTGTTTTAAGAAGGAATTCATAATGATACATTTTTAAAGAATTCATATTCTGAATGTTCTAAAAAAGACCATTAAATATATTATTTCTGTGGTTTTATCACCTAACAGAAAAAAATAAATATAAAAGGACGCACATTTTTCAGAACTGTCTATTTTGAGTGCATAAAGTGTTGATGATTGTCAAGATACCGATTAATGCAGTGCTATTAAAGAAAAAAAGATTTCAGAGACTATCTTTTCATCGGACATTTTTATTGGGACATTGAGATGGCCTGTTGACATAAGACTAGGAGAGACAGTGAGAAATGTTACCTTCACAGTAGCTAGTTGATTTTTGAAGTTTGGGAATAAAGACTACTGTACAAATGAAAACTCTGGGTAATTACTTCAAATTGTGGCATTTGTGTGCTTTCAATTCCTTAACATGTATATGTTTTTCATTACAAAAAAATTCATGTTCATGTAGAAAAATATGGGTACACAGAAAACATTTTAAAAAATCCACCAGAGTTAACTAGACATGCTTCTTAATGATATAAGATAGCATATATATATATTCATGTGTGTATATGTGTATACATATATAGAGAGAGAGAGACAGACAGACATAGAGCCAGGGAAACAAGTTTGGTTGTTTGGGTTAAACATCTGTTAATAATTGTCTTTAA